CACACACACACACACACACACACACACACACACACACACACACACACTACAGGAAACAACAGGGCATAGAGGACACTGACGATAGTAATTTCTATGGCATAGTGGTAATGAAAACCAGTAGGCTCAATAAAAAATGTGGGAAAAGAGGTGTCAAGATAGGTTTAGATAAATTAGACAACTCTTGAAATTGAAATGCAATGTACTTACCAGAACACTCATCCTTTTAAAGTATACAATCCAGTGGCTTTTAGTATATCTACAATGTTGTGCAATCATCACCACTAATTCAAGAACTTTTTTGTCACCCCCAAAAGATATCCCCTACCCATTGGTAATTGTACCTCATCCCCCTCCTTCCCCAGTCCCCAGCAACCACTAATTTACTTTCCGTTTGTATGGATTTACCTATTATGGACATTTCATATAAAAGGAATCACGTGACGTGTGGTCTTTTGTGTCTGGCTTCTTTCAGTTTAGCATGTTGTGGCATGTGTCCATACTCCATTCCCTATTATGGCTGACTAATATTCCATTGTAGGGATATACCACATTTTGTGGAGGGTTTTTATTATATTTTTTTCACATTTTGTTTATCCATTCATCAGTTGATGGACATTGGGTTGTTTCTACTTTGGGGCTATTTTGAATAAAGCTGCTATGAGCATCCATGTACAAATTTTTGTATGAACATATGTCTACAGTTCTCTTGGGTAAATACCTAGGAGTGGAATTGCTGGGTCACTTGAGAATGCTATGTTTACCTTTTTCTGGGATTGTCAGACTGTTTTCTACAATGGCTGCTCCATTTTACATTCCCATCAGTATTGTATGAGGGTTCCAATTTCTCTACATCCTTGCCAACACCTTATATTTTCTCTCTTTTTAATTACAGGGGGTATGAATTTAGAGGAGATTTACTGTAAAGAGAAAAAAAGAATTGGGGTGGTGGCTAGGGAAGGTGGTTGAATCAAGCTTTTGTTTGTTTGTTTGTTCATTTGTTTTAAGAGGGGCCATATTATAGTGTATTCATATACTGATGGAAATAATCTAGTAGAAAGGAGAAAATGGATGATGTGGGAGAGAGACTGGACAGTTGTGGGGACCACATCATTGAGAAGGAGTGAGGATAGGTCTGGTGAGCAAGTGGAGGATCTGGCCTTACATGGGAACACAGACAGTTTATCCAACATAAAAGGTAGTGCTATGGTCTGAATGTTTGTGCCCTCTCCATTCATGTGTTGAAATCTACCCCCCAAAGTGATTGAATTAGGAGGTGGGGCCTTTGGGAGGCTATTAGGTCATAAGAGTAGAGCCCTCATGATTGGGATTAGTGCCCTTCTAACAGAGACCCCAGAGAGATCCCTCACCCCTCCATCAAGTGAGGACACAGTGAGAAGTCAGCAGTCTATAACCCATAGGTCTTCACCAGAACCAGACCATATGGCCACATGATCTTGGACTTCCAGCCGTCAGAACAATGGGAAGAAAATTTTTGTTACTGTAAGCCACCCAGTCTGTATGACCTAGGACAGGTGGGAAGGCAGAGCATGACTACAGCTGGAGGTAGGATAGCTCGGTGGTGAACACTTGTGGAAATCCCCTTGAGATTTTACCCCCTTAGCTGAGATTGAAGAGAGGCAGGAGATACTAGGGTCTGAAGAGAAAGGAGAAGGGCCAGCACAGTCATCTAGGGTGACACTGACTAGACATAATAGGACAGTGAGGCATCATTCAAACCCACTTGAATTTGTGATCATTAGTTTAAAATGAGACCAGTCAGTATTTTCCCCAGCATCTGATCTTCTCTTACCATATTAGAAGTTTTCAGTATTTAAATGAATGAATAAATAGAGTTAATATTGAGTTTATATTACATGCACAAAATACACTTTTTAATTTGCTACTTCTCTGTTAATTGGAACTGGTTCCTGCTAGATTTTATTAAAATTAACGACTTAAGATAATAGCAAAGAGTAGCACACCCTGGTTCAGTTTTTCTGTTCAAGGTAATTAGAATAAGCAAAGATTTTATTTTAGTGCTGTTATTTCTCTTGAGGGTAATGTTGCTGAATAAAAAAAAAAATAAGAATGTGAAACTGACTAGTTTTGAATCTTTCCATCTACATATTTTTTTCAGAAAAGGAGAAGAGAAGTAAATGGTAACTTCTTTAAGGATCTGGGATTCTCTAGAAATTCCTAGAATTCTGAATTATGCTTCATCATCCATTCATTTATTCAGTCAAAAGACGTTTCTCAGTATTTCCTCTTTTACCGGTTACACGAAAAATGAAACTAAATTAACTAATTTTTTTAATGTTTATTTATTTTTGAGAGGGAAGGAAGGGTAGAGAGAGGGAGACACAGAATTCAAAGCAGGCTCCAGGCTCTGAGCTGTCAGCACAGCTGACAGGGGGTTTGAACCCATGAACCGTGAGATCATTACCTGAGGTGAAGTCGGATGCTTGACCAACTGAGCCACCCAGGCACCCCCAAAATGAAACTAAATTAAATATGATTCCTACCGTGAAGTACATCACAGGCATCTGGATATTACACTGTTTTTAGAAAAGGCAGATACACTTTTATTTCAACCAATTCTTTTAGAGAACTTGGTTCTATGTAGCATCACAGAAAATTAGCACTGATAAAGAATGTCATGAAATTTATAAAGTAAAAATTTCAAAGACATCAATAAGTTTACTTCCTTTATATTTTAAATCTTACTGGGAGGATCTCTACTTGTTTAACTGTCAACAGTGTACTCCTAAAGACTGCTTTGTCACAACCACAATCATGTGCTTCATGGAATCTTAATGAGAATATACTATTACAGTCTTAAGATTTTTATACTTTCCTTTTTGAAGAGCCTTTCAAAGAATCAACGGTTTTGTGAACCTACTAGTGTCTGTGTTACAGACTTTCATGGAGTCCAAGGGCAGAAGCCCATAATCATTTGGCCGCAGGACACACAGATGGACGGTGTGTGGCAGTGTTTAAATGCTGATGCCACAGTTCCACACTGCAAATGCATCCCACGATATTTTTCTCTTGCTCTGTCACAGTGTGTTTGCCAAACAGGACATGGAAAATGAATAGGCAGTTTTCTTGCACAATTCTTAATATAACGGTCAAAATGAACTCCATTGCTTAAGAAAAGCATAAACACAATTTAGTCCCCGAACATGCCTGTATATAGGTTGTTACTGTGGGGGAACCCTGGTATTAGTACCCAAGTATTATTTTCATTGAAAATTCTGAAAGATCAAGATTCTTTTTTCCAATAATCCTTAAAAAATAAAAATAAAAATGAACACGCTATCAAATTATCAAAGTTTCACTTTTATAACTAAGAATTATAGATTAAAAAATTTGTGAATTTATTTTTCTGGGACTTTTAAATTATGAGCATTATTTGAATGAAAGAGAACCAATTTATTGATTTTTTTTTTTTTGTCTTCACGCCCAGTGCAGAGTCCAATGCGGGGTTGAACTCAGGACCCTGAGATCAAGACCTGAACTGAGATGCTGAGATCAAGAGTCAGATGCTCAACTGACTGAGCCACCCAGTCACCCCTCTATTGTTTAAAACTGAAATACAGTTTTATTTTATGGATTTTTTTCCTCATATAGTACATAAAATAATGAATTTGATGCCACTCCCCAAAACATGGGGGGGGGGTGTACCTTCCTTATTATCCTTCACATTCTAAAGTGATTAATATCTTCACTCATGGTGATTGATTTCAGACTAGGTAGTGTAAACAACAGAAATTTATTTTCTTCCTCAGCTTTGGAGGCTGGAATTTCAAGTGCAAGGTGCTGGCAGGGTTAGTTTCTGGTGAGGCCTCTCTTTCCTAGCTTGCACATGGTTAGCTTGTCACTGCGTGCTCACGTGGCCTTTTCTGTGAGCATGTGTGCCCCGGGTGTCTCTTCCTCTTCTTATAAGGACACCAAGTCCTATTGGATGGGGGCCCCACACATGTGACCTCATTGAACCTTAATGACTCCTTTAAAGGTCTTATCTTCAAATATTCAGGTTGGGGCTCCAACATATGAATTGGGAGAGGGGGACACAATTTAGTCCATAATGGATTTGGTAGAAAGATAATTTTAATTTGTGGTTATTGTCTTTGTATATAAACTTTCTCAGTATTTCTCTGCCTTTCAAATACGCTATCATAAAGACTGAGAAAATGTGATTCCTTATTTCCCACATTGCCATTCCATCCCAGTTTATTATAATAAAGATAAGTCTATTCAGTGCTCAGTGTATTCCAGGAACTGCCCCAGATTCTGGGACATATCCATGAAAGAACCAATGCCCCTGTTCTTAGCTCATAATGTGACCAGACCTTTAGAAATTCAGAAAATTGCTACCTCCAAAGACATCTAGCAGTTCAGGAGTCCCAGATTGTGAACTTTTTAAATTATTTTTTTAATGTTTATTTGGCGGGGGGGGGGGGGGGGACAAAAGGGAGGGGGAGACACAGAATCCAAAGCAGGCTCCAGGCTCTGAGCTGTCAGCACAGAGCGTGACATGGGGCTCGTACTTATAAACAGCAAGATCATGACCTTAGCCAAAGCTGGACGCTTACCCGACTGAGCCACCCAGGCACCCCTGAGTTACCTTATTTAACAACTCAACTTGCTTGTTTAAAAAAAAAAAAGTATTTTATTCATTAATTAACTTACTCAGCCAATGTTTATTGAGTGTTAACTTTGAGCCTAAGGTATAGCAATAAACAAATTGGATAAAGTATCTGGTGTGATGAAACTTGTATTTTCATGGAAGAGACAGACAATAAGCAAATAAAGAATATAATGTCAGGTAGTGATAAGTATTTTGAAACAAAGCGAAGGTGAAAAGATGGCTTGTGGGGGAGACTGCTCTGCAAGATAGGGTGTGAGGACTGCCTCTCTTAACAGGAAACATCTGAGCAGAGACTTGAAAGGAGTGAAGGAGCTCACTGTGCGTGGGAGATGAACGTTCCCAGTAGAGAGGCCAAGTGCAAAGACTCTAGGGCAGGAGCACGGGGAATTTCAGGGTCTGCAGCCAGTGCAACTGAGCCAGGGGGTAAAGTAGTTAAGTGATGGTGCTGCTGAGGTGGCCAGGAGCTAGCGCATGAATGCTCTTGTAGGATTTTATTCTCCAAGACGAGAAGCCATTGAAGCATTGGAGAACAGAAGTCGTAGAATCTGACTTATATTTTAAAGCCTCTCTGGCCGCTCTATGGAGAAAAGATGGGGGAGTGGAGGCCTAAGATAAAGCAGGGAGACCACTGAGTGGTTAGAGTGAGAAATGATGGTGGCTTGCACTAAAATGATAGCATAGAGGTGGTGTGCGTGTGCGTGTGCGCATGCGCATTTAAGGTAATCACAGCAGGTGTTACTATAACTGGTAATTTTTTTTAACGTTTATTTATTTTTGAGAGACAGAGCATGAGCGGGGGAGGGACAGAGAGAGAGGGAGTCACAAATTCCAAAGCAGGCTCCAGGCTCTGAGGTGTCAGCACAGAGCCTGACGCAGGACTTGAACTCACAGACTGCGAGATCATGACCTGAGGCAAAGTTGGACGCTTAGCCAACTGAGCCACCCAGGCGCCCCCTGATTGGTAATTTTTAATCACAAAATGTTACACATAAGAAATCATCAACACCTACAACATTCATGACCGGGACTCCTCAAACCTGTCCATCAAAAACAAGGGAAGTCTGAGAAACTGTCACAGCTACTACATATTAACCTTATTCTTAGGGCATTTTCAACTACAGTAACTCTGTGAAGAGCACTTTAGCTTCCTCTTCTAACCCCAACAAGAGGTAGTGCTACTCAAAGTCAATCTGTTAAAGACTTAGAGACAGAGAGATTGAAGAAAACGGAGCTATCGCAGTCATCCTCCGAGGGAACGGTCTCCGAGATTTTCGTGATTCGCTTTCGGACAGGCTAAAGTTACTAGGAGAACTGGGGCTAACCCACATCTACTTCCATTTCAATTCTCATTCCATTATCCATATGGATTGAACTTTAAAACATTGTAAACTTGAACTTCAGTAAGATATTGAGAATTTTCCAGACAGCATTATTGTAGAAGTTGGCTTTGGTATCTCACGGGCATGGGTGATAACCCATAGTATAAGTTTAACTGCAAAGTTGGAAACTTAAACTTTAGCAAGTTATTAGACGTTTCTGGATAGAGGTGCAGGGTTTTGTGGGTTCTGCTGTCCCGTAGGCGCTGGTGCTAACTGGCAGTATTTGGCTAAGTCTTTGTGCATGCAGTTTTCTTCAGGAGTTCTGTTGCCTATAAAATAATATCACATCTAAGATTTGCTTCAAAAGAATCCAGTGAGGAGGGTTGGATATGTGTATAGATGAAACAAGATTGGCCAAGCGTTGATAGTTGTTGAAGCTACATGATGAGCAGATGAGGGTCTATTATCCTGCAATATGTACTTCTGTGTATGTCTGGAGTTTTCCGTTATCAAAAGTTTAAAAAAATATAATTATTATTTACATTATAAAAGACAAGCCTGGTGAGTAATAGGATCTAGCTAGCAATAAAGTAATGAAGGGAAGGGCAGGTGGTACAGCTTGTAGATTGTTCTTTTTTCTACACCGTCTTCTTGTAGGTCAGCATATGCGGACATAGCTCAACTACGCGACACTACCCCTGGAAGCTTCAATATCACAACCTCACTTCTGGCTCTAAGGTCTTATACACATCTCCATCCCCAACTATGAGGTTTCTTCATAGGCAAGAACTGGTTTGCAGGGACTAAGGCAATAAGAAGCCTCTGACTTATTCAATCTTCTATTATAAGGGTGAGACTTTTATGGCCTCGGGTTTTCAGGGGTACTGTGGAAGCGGTTTAGAAGGATCAATCTGAATTTTAATGGGTTTGACACTTCTGATTTTTCCCCCACATCTGTGAAAAAGGCCCACAGAGTAGCAGGGATTTCAGAGAGATCTATAGCATCTACACTTCCATCGAATTTAATAGTCTCCTCAGGACAATCAATTTGGACTTGGAGAACACATCATGCTTCAGTGTCTGATGAGTCTGGAAACTCTGTCTCTCCTGAGGAAAATTTTATGTGGCCTCCTAATATAGAAAGCAGGTCTCTACCTAGGAAATTCACAGGGGCAGTATCACATAATAGAAAGGTATGACTCAGAGAGAGGGCCAAGGGTAACAGCTATGGGTTCCAGTAAGGGAACTCTTTGAACTTGACTAGAAACTCCCACCACAAAGATATTTTTATTACTCCAAGGTAGTTCTTCATGCATAATGGTAGGGTTTAAAGGAAATAGAGTTGCTCCGGTATCTATCAACAAGGTAGAAATTTCTCCATTTAAGTTTAGGTTAATTTTCCCTGATGATTTAAGGAATTATTGAAGTAGCTTACCAGGCAACTTCTCAGAGTTCTATCAGTGTTGACAGTTATCACCAGAATCTGGGAGCTGAGGGCACTCTCTTTCTGGATTGTTTAACAGGCGCTCTATTTAAAAGTGGGCAATTCTTTTTCCAATGTCTCTTTTGATTACAGTATTGACAGGAATCTCTGTCAACTTGAGGCAAGATCCCTTGAAGTTAGGTCAGGGTCCTCATAATTGTTGCAGCTGTAGGACCATGACTTTATTATTTTTTTTTCCAACGTTTTTTTAAATTTATTTTTGGGACAGAGAGAGACAGAGCATGAACGGGGGAGGGGCAGAGAGAGAGGGAGACACAGAATCCGAAACAGGCTCCAGGCTCTGAGCCATCAGCCCAGAGCCTGATGCGGGGCTCGAACTCACGGACGGCGAGATCGTGACCTGGCTGAAGTCAGACGCTTAACCGACTGCGCCACCCAGGCGCCCCTATTTTTTTGATAACCTTTTTTCTGTTCTATTATTCTTTCAAAATATTCCACAAGAGGTTGAAGCTCTGGGAGAGGAGTGATGTCCCATTGGAAATGGGACACGTTCCACAAATCATTTGTGTCCCACAAATTTGTGGGACACGTTCCACAAATCATTGAGGTCTGCGTGAAGCCCATTAACAAAATGGGCACACAGGGCAAAACTAGCCCCAGAGTCTTTTGTGGCCAGGGTGTTGTCTAAATACTAACTCTAAATAAATTCAGAAGTCTGCCACTGGCTCATCCTTTTTCTGTTTACAGGGTTGTATGCGGCCCAGTATGTTCTCATAGGAAAAACTTTGAGAACTGCTTCTTGAAGCAGTTGACTTGTTTTTTTCCTCTTTTTATTTATCTCTGGAAGCATGTTTGGTGGGATCCTCAAACTCTTAGGTAGGGACTTTCCAATATAGTTCTTGAAGCCATTTTTAAGCATCTTTTGGACTCACTATCATGCTAACCAACTAGTAAAAATCAGGTAGTCTAGGATCACAGGCACCAAGAAAATGTTTCAATTCTTCTGTCTTTTTAGTGTTGTCCTTTTTAGAGTCTGGAAAATCACTTACAATGGCTCAAAGTTTGGTTTGAGAACACAGTTTAACTTCTGCTGAGGCTAAAGATCCCTGGTTCATTAGAAGGTCTTATCTTAGGACGTCTGATATTTAAGGGGCTTGGAGGGAAAGGGTAAAAGATAAAAGTGGTTAGTGGGTTCAGAATAATCAGGTAAAGGAGGATAAAGAGGAGCAGAGGGATTAGCTGGAGGTTGCTTAAGTCTCTCATGTCAGAGGTTTGCCCTTGAGGTTTTCATTGGCTTGTTGTAATGATTCCTCTAGAGTTTATATTTTTAAATTTAATTCTATTCTATTCTATTCTTTTTTATTATTTAAACATTTTTTTGTGTTTATTTATTTTTGAAAGACACAGAGAGACAGAGCACGCTCAGGGGAGGGGCAGAGAGAGAGAGAGGTAGACACAGAATCTGAAGCAGGCTCTAGGCTCCGAGCTCTCAGCACAGAGCCCAATGTGGGGCTCAGATTCACAAACTGTGAGATCATGACCTGAGCCAAAGTCGGACAATCAACCAACTGAGCTACCCAGGCACCCCTCTATTCTTTTTTAAGTAAGCTCTATACCCAACATGGGGCTTGAGTGCACAACTCCAAGATCAAGAGTCATATGCTCTATGCACTAAGTAAGCCAGGCCCCCCTAGGGAGTCTATTTTAGAGTCATTTTGTCTTTTGGAGGCCTCCATACCAAACAAGGAATACATTCTATTGTTGTTGCAAGGTTCAGGATCATCTCTTTCAGGAGTATCCCTACTAAGTATCCCTATCCTTAAGATAGGTGGACTATCTTATTGACTATCTTACTTAAGTTAAAGGTCCCCCAAAGTGGCCACTGTAACTCCAAGTTATCCTATATAGAATGCACCCATTTTTCCAAAAGGGACAAGATCCTGGTTATTAAGTGAATATACATATAGGAAGTAGGAGTTTTTGAAAGAAGTAGGGAAAGAGTTTTAGGCCAATTGGAATGAATCTTTGCCATAGAGTCTCTAAAATGGCTGTATCTATAGGGATCTCAAGAATTTTACTCCTGTCTAGAAACTCAAGGAATCATGGGTTTTCCCCCCTTACAGACAGAAGGGTAACCAAGAAACTGGAACAAAACATAGATATGCACAATAAAGTCAGAGAGCTGAAAACACAAAGAGAATGGAGCTCTGATCCAGGAGAGACTTACCTGGAACTCCGTGGTTGGTGAGAAAGCAGTGAGAACAATGGGCTCGGTAGGTACTGGCACCTGGTTACTTACCACCCTTGGGGCTCTTCAGGGGACTAGTTCAGATCCCACTTCTGACACCAGAAACTGTCAAAAATAAAATCAGATCAAATTAAAATGTTGAGTTTATCATACATACAAGAAAAAAGTTCACAAAGTGGGAGACTTCAAATAAAAAACGGCAAGAACTTCAAAGGTATGTTATTACAGGATGCTTATAATATGAGACTGGGGAAGTTGTTTAACTTTGCAATGATGGATTATTACAATGGGGGTTTCCTGACAGCAGGGGATTGGTTAAGAGTGATTATCTTACACCATTTTAAAAGAACAATTTAAGTTTTGTTTATGATTATCAGAGGCATTTACAAGACATAGCCTAAATTAAAATTCACAAGCCTAGTATCCATTTTATTTCAACAGACCAATTGAGCTACAAGGCCCTTCCTTATCTCCTCAACCAAAAGTAATTATTTGGTGGTTCTTTAGCAAAAGATAATTGGTACTGAGGGGGTAAAATCCCAAAGAGAATCCACTTAAAACAAGGACCAAAATTCCATAATTAATAAGGATAAAAGGACTGATTTAGGGACAGCCAATGTTGGACAAAACTAAAACAAACCAAAACAGAGACACACACACACACACACACACACACACACACACACACACACACACCATAATAGAAAATAATTATACACAAGTATTATAACTTTAACATAAAAATATGAAAGACTTGAAAATATATGTTCCATTCTTTATCTTTCAGTTACATAAATGCTATTATTTAAATAGGAATAGTTAACAATTAGTAATAATAGGACTAATTAAACAAATAACATATGAAAAACATGTAACAATATTTTTATTGTCTCCTCTAATACAATAGTTAATTAACTTTCTAAAAACAATTTGAATATTTAAATTTTGAAGGTTATATTGATCTTTATTCTTTTTTTAAACATTTTTTTAAGTTTATTTATTTATTTTTAGAGAGAGAGAATCCCAAGCAGGCTCCACACTGTCAGTGTGGAGCCCTATCCAGGGTTTGAACTCATGAACCTTCAGATCATGACCTGAGCCAAAATCAAGAGTTGGGATACTTAACTAACAAAGCCACCCAGATGCCCCTAATCTTTATTCTTAAGATGCAAAAATATGTGACTTTTTAAAAGGAGAAACTAAATACAATAGGATTAACTTAACAGACATTGCTATTCTTTTCATTTTTTAGTGTTTGTTTGTTTATTTATTTTGAGAGAGAGAGAGAGAGCAAGCATGAGCAGGGAAGGGAAAGAGAGAGAGGTCAAGAGAAAGAATCCTAAGCAGGCTCCACGCTGTTAGTGCAGAGCTCAATGTGGGGCTCGATCTCACGAATAAGGAGATCATGACCTGGGGTGAAATCGAGAGTCAGACGCTTAACCAACTGAGCCACCTGGGTGCACCAGACGTTGCTATTTTTATTAAAAAATAAAATATGCAATGGCATATTTCTTTCTATCTCGTAATTCAGGATATTTTTATTCTTTCAGTTTCCTTTTCCAATAATACTTCTTAAACTGCCTGCAGCCTTTAGAACGCCCTCCTCTTCTTTTATGTAGTGGTAAAACTGAATACAATGAAACGTAAAATCATCTTGACTTGCAACTGTGCTCTTATCAAACCCACATTACACTGATTCCTGGTGTCAGTCCAATGTGATTGCATCAACTGAAACAGTTTCTCAACAAACATATTTGAGCATGGTACACTTAGGATCTTACTTACTAGCAACAGCAGGTTTTTAGGCTTGGAGGAGTTTGTTTCCAGCTCTCCCAAAATGTCCATCCACATTTATCTATAGGCTTCTTTTGGTAGACCAGCTATTTGTCAATCAGGTTCTTTGCATCCATAAATTCATCATGGAGGTGATCCATGTCTAAAATGCCTGTCATTTTTAAAAAATGTTAATTTATTCATTTTTGAGAGAGAGAGAGAGAGAGAGAGAGAGAGCAGGGGAGGGGCAGAGAGAGAGAGAGAGAGAGCGAGCGAGAGCCCAATGTGGGGCTCCATCCCATGAACCGGTCTGTTTTCAAAGACCACCAAGCAGTTGTGGAGTAACAGCATATAAATTTCTGTTGTATTGTAATCCTTTTCTCCATTTTCATCTTCAGTGGGTTTCCCAACTAGAGAAGGGCATTCGACTTTTCCCACACTTTGAAAATAGGATTTTATGGTAGGCCAACATTTTAACATCTTTTCTAAGCCTGGCAACAATGACAACCATCTCGTAGGCATATGTCTAAGGAGTCTATCTCTTCCATTTCTACAAAGTCAGAAGTCTCATTAACTGCTCCTCTGAAACTGAAGTGTCACCAAAAACTTTCATTACGTAAGAGTCAATGTCAAAAGAAAGTAAATCACATCCCTGTTTAGCAGTCTGTGTACAAGGTGTGCAGGACATTTAACAGGTAGGAGGTTTCCATTTTTCAGACTGAATGGAAGTTGCTGACATTTACATCCATACTATCTGCTGAATATGCAAATAAGTGAGCCACGTCTAGATTGTATTTGGACAGGATTATCAATGCTCTTTTGTTTAATGTTTCCTGAGGTGTCATTAAAATCTTCACAGCAACCAAGCAGCCTATTTGAAACCCCACTTTTCAAATCAAAGAACCAAAGAGGTAGGGGGAACTCTTTTTTATTGCCATGATACAACACATCACTTGACATACTGCAGAAGGCACGATTATTGGTGAGATCTGACAGAATGGGCTCCATGCTGGAAGGGACCAATACATCCTAATCAAAAGTTCCCCTTTTGTTCGTCCACAGGACATTTTAGTTGCAACC